GAAGCTGTGGCTTCTCTGTCCAGTTCTTCTTCACCTCAACTGGGGAAGACCACTCTATTGATGGTGTGGGCATGACAACTCCCACCTCCTACTCGCAGAAACAAGAGCAACGCTGGAGGCATGGCAGAAGTGTGTGGTCCCATCTCAGCCTGTGCTTAAAGAAAGACAGAAAGAACCTGCAGGCTTAGCCAGGTACCCTGAGTGGACCCAGCCGGCTCAAGGTCAGGAGGAGGACTTGGCTCCTCTGCCTCAGGCCTCCTTGGAGCTTTTATCCCTGGAATCCATGAGATAACAGACTCTACTTCCTGCAGTAAACTAGACAAGACATTTCTATTTTTAGTAGAAAAGTTCCTGCTGTCCTTATCATTCCAGGAGTTTATTTATTTATTTTATTATTATTATTTTTTTTGAGACAGAATCTCACTATGTTGCCCTCAGTAGAGTCCTGTGGCGTCATGGCTCACAGCAACCTCAAACTCTCCAGCTTAATTGATTCTCTTGCCTCAGCCTCCCAAGTAGCTGGGACTACAAGTGCCTTCCACAACTCCCAACTATGTTTTGGTTTCAGTTCTCATTATTGTTTAGCAGGCCCAGGCCGGGCTCGAACCCACCAGCCTTGGTGAGCCTTGGTGGCCAGATGTGAGCCTTGGTGTATGTGGCCAGTGCCCTATCCACTGAACTACGGGTGCTGCCTCATTCCAGGATTTTACCAAGAACAAAGTAAGATGTGACATATACCCTAAATATTATTGAAAAAATACTTGTAAAAATCTGTCAAATTTTGGCTATGAATGCAAAAGTTTGGTGACAAAAAGATTAAAATTTTCAGTGAGAATTATTTCCTTTGAAAATGAAAAGGAGGAAAGTGATCATATTAAATTGCTTAATTGTTTATGTGTAGAATTCTTCAGATTTTTCTCTCAAAATTGTTTGTAACCTCAAGTTAGTCTCTCTTCATAAACTTATTTTGCTATATACAAAAATAATCCCTCAATATAAAACATAGTTTGCTGCTGCTATCTCACAAAGTTCCCAAGTTCCCAAGTTCACAAGTTCTGAACCTGGATATAACTGCCTCAGGGAGGGAGCACACAATGGCAAGGATGAAGAGGAGGAGGCAGAGGAGAGACACTGCCAGTGCAGAAACCAAGGCTGCTAGCAGCTAAGAGAGGCCAGCAAGGATCCTCCGCTGGACCTTCCAGAGGAAGCACAGCCCTGAAAACCTCTTGCTTTTGGCCCAGTAAAACTGATTCTGGACTTCTAGTTCCCAGAACTGTGAGAGAATAAATATATGTCGTTTTACATGAGTAAGTTTGCGGTCATTTGTTACAGCAACCAAAGAAACAAATACACTAACCAAGACAAAAGATGGTGAATTCAAAGCAAGGGCTTCTTGCAAGAACCTTAGTTCTCCAATTATCCACAGCCAAGTCTTTTTTCTTTTCTTTCCCCTCATCAGTTACTTGGTGAAGAAAGTGAAGCACAGGGAAGGTCTAAGAATTCACGGACAGGGGCAGCGCCTGTGGCTTTAAAGGAGTAGGGTGCTGGCCCCATATACCAGAGGTGGTGGGTTCAAACCCAGCCCCAGCCAAAAACTGCAAAAAAAAAAAAATTCAGGGAGAGAAAGTGCAAATTCCTTTTTTTGTTGTTTGTTTTTGTTTTTTAACTCACCACTATACTAATGAGGGGGGAAGTGCAAATTCCTTCTACCTTCACTTTCTTCCTAGATGATCCGAAGCTCAGCCTTCTGTGGTCACAGGAAGCACCAGTGAGGGAGGCAGCTGGTAGGGGCAGAGAGAACTGGGGCGCTGGTGCCCACTCACAAACCAACTGGAAATATGGATTCAGGGTAGCTTATCTTTGGAGTTTTTCATGAGAAGCCAAAATCCCACTTACTTATGTGAAATCTTCCAATTTTATAATTTGGCAACTAATTAAAAAAAAATGTTTTGCAGGCTGTGCACAGTGGTTCACACCTATAATTCTAGTACTCTGGGAGGCTGAGGCCAGTAGATTGATTGAGCTCAGGAGTTCAAGACCAGTCTGAGCAAAAGCAAGACTTTGTCTTTAAAAAATAGCCAGGAGTTATGGTGGGCACCTGTTGTCCCAGCTATTCAGGAGGCTGAGGCAAGAGGATTTCTTGAGCTCAAGGGGTTGAGGTTGATGTGAGCTATGACTAGCACTCTACTGAGAGTGACAATGTGAGATTCTATCACCAAAAAAGAAGAAGAATAAGAAGAAAAAGTTTTAAACCTGTGATCAAACAAGAAAAAGTCTGCCTGCCTGGTTTGTCCCAGGACTGCCTGCTGCAGCCTGTGCTCAAAGTCTTTCCTCTGCACCAGAATTACCCTGATCAGTTATCCCTGGGCAGTGATCAGCCTCAGCATTGGCCCTTCCCTCACCTGGCCCTTCTTTAGTGGTGGTGGGAACCACACCCAGGAGATCTTCAAAACCCCAATACCTGGAAAATATAGGCCTCGTCCTGACAGTCATTCACAAGTGGCTGAATGAAGAAGGAAGAAAGAACGAACGAAAGGAGGGAGGAAGGAAATATTTTAACTTCTGTCCTTGGCAGAAAGTCAGCAAAGTGTCAGAACAAACCCCCACATGTGAATACCTAAGTGCCATTTCAGCTAAGGTTTCAATCACTGAAAGTCTTAGAGGGTCATCTGCTCAGTTTATGGAGGGTCAACTACTGTCAGGTCTTGGCTTTCTGAGGGAGACATAGCACAGATAGAGAGAGCAGACATAATCTGAGCACATGATAAGAGAGGGCCTTTGATCTCCACCCTGTGGGAACTGCCCAGGAGATCTGAGACCTGAGGCTGCTTCCATGTAACAGCAACAGACATCTCCAGGCCACAATTTCCCACAAGGCAAAGCAAAGAGGTTGTGTGGATCTTTCTCGGACCATCTTTACAATTTTTGCTGTGTCTGCCCACTCGTATGTACCAACAGCACAATCATTTCCTTAATATTTTTCAGTAAAATTTCACTAAATTTTCAAAAACTTGTAATGAATTCATTACAAAAGGAAACACCCATAAAAGGAAAGACAGTATCACTTGCCATACATACATAGACCATAATCCAAAACAAACAGACCCATGCGTTCAATTCTAGGCAGCTACTGCGGCCTGCTTTGGGCCTGGGACAGCTTCCTCTGTGCAAACGTACTTGCCAACTGTCACAGAGATGTTGAGGACACCTTAGCACCAAGCTGAGAAGTTCCCCTGGTGCAACTTTCCCATGAAGGGACTCCACAGGATTCCACTCTGAGCTGCACCCCCATGCCATCAGCAAGGATAGCCCCTAGGGAAGTAATTCCAAGAAGGCATCTTAGTCCTGCACATTCTCTTTGATTCTGGCTCTGACTGGGGACTCCTAAGGGCTATAGCCACTCTCTTGAGCCCTGGGTGTCCTTTGGTGACCCCACCCCCCTTCTCACACTCCACCATCAGTAAGTACCAGAAGATGTGAGGATATAAGGTCTTACAGGTCACAGCTCAACATTTCCATTGGGGACAATAAATGTGCAGCCCTTTAAGAAAGCAGAAAAAAGCACTTGAGATTTTTGAGGGCTGGAGAAGGTAGAGCCCCCTTAAACCTCAGAAAGACATAAGAGAAAGCCAGATGCAAGTAGAAAGCAGGAGAGCAGGCTGGGGTGGGGGTGGAAGGGAATCACAGAGGAAGGAAGTGAAGCTTTTGGTGCTTGGGGCAAGACTCTTCTAATTCAAGGGTCTCACGCACAGGCCACCAGTTGGCCAAGAGTCTGGAATGCCATAGAGAGGTCTGGAATCTGAAAGGCTTTGAGATCTCCCGAAATTGCCACCTTTGCCTGATCTCTGTCCCCAGAGGCAGCCTTACACATTGCAAAACTGATGCCTGCTTAGCCTGAGTAAGGTTGCATCCCAAAGCCAGCTGCCCATGTCCTGCTAGGCTGGCTCCTGAAACAAGGCCTGTACAGACCTTGGCCCAGGGCTCACCGCCGGTGCACTCCACCCCACAGCCCTCAGCAAAGTCAGAGAGAGGCCTTTCATGGCTTCAAAAGTTCCACCAGGTCCTCCAGCCACAGGAGGCTGGAATGGGTAACTGAATTCTATTCAAGTGAGAAAGGGAAAAAAAAAACAACAACAGTGACCTTTTGTCCCAGCAAAAGTTCCCGGCTCTCTCCAGGCCAGCAGAGGCGGCCCAGCCAGGAGACTAAAGAATTGCAGATGTGCGCTTCGGGCCACCGCCACCCTCCCCTCGGCCCCGCAGCCACGCGGGACAGCGCGGCTTCGCAGCGGGAATCCCGCCGCCCGGAGCCTGGAGGCTCTCCCGACCCCGGACTCCCTCTCCTAGCTTGGGGCCGAGGCTCGGCTGCAATTACTGCCTCTGCCCCGAGCCTCCCGGAGAGTTCCTTTCAGCAAAGAAGCGACAACAGGGAACCAACCCTTCCAGGGACAAGAGGTTCGTCTAGGGTCGCGAGAAGGACGCAGAAGGCCCTTCCTGAGAGCACCAAGGGCTGTGCTTGATGCCGCCGCCCGGACGAGCCTGGCAGAGCTACTGGAGTGCACCTCCTAGGAGGGTGCGGTGGGCTGAGAGCAGTGCTGGGCACACGGGATGCGCCAGCGTTCGCGTGGCTGCCTTTGTGGGGGATTAGGGGAAGTGGAGGAAAGCGCGCTCAGTGGATTTCGGGTGGGAACACCTTTGTTTGGGGGAGGGGGTCCGGGCCCAACTAACATCCCTCTGGGGGGGCCCAGCCTGGGTGCCCCTCACTACGACAGAGACCCAGGCTGGGCATTCCCCTACACCTTCCGGAGACATCCAGGGGGCCAGGGTCGGGGACGGAGAGTAGGCAGGCCTGGACATTGAAAGCCCCATGGTCGGGGACTGGGAAAGACAGGCATCCCTGGTCAGGTCCCCGGCGCCGGCTCGCAAGAGAGGCACTGAGAGGCTGCGGCACAAGCACCCGCCGGCGGCCAGAGGAGGGCGGCTCGGGAGAACTAGGCACTCACCGCACATGGTGGCCGCTGCTCGAGTCCCGTGGCTGCTCCGGGATCTGCGTGCTTGGGACACTCCAGATATCTCGCGCTCCCTGTGCTCAGCGGTCTCCTACTCCCGCCGCTTGGCCTCTGGCCCTTTTAGCTCCGAGCTCCGCTAGGGGGCGGGGCCGGCCGGGGCCACCTCCTGCTTGCTTGCTCCCCATAGGCCCCCGGTTGTCGTGACAACGGCGGGGACCGGGCCCCCAATAGTCGGCTAAGGATTGAGGGGCGGCTCCCAGACCGGAGCCAGGACCGTAATGCGAGGGCGTAGCTCACTGGATCCTGGAGGAGGGCTCGGGGCAGCCAACCGCTCTTCACACCCCTACTCAACCACTGACTTAGCGCGGAGCCATGGGAAGAGGACTAACGAATCGGTGCTTCTGTTTCCCCATCTGTAAAATGGGAATAGCAAAGGCCCCTTACTTCCCAGTTGTTGGCGAGGGTTAAGACAGTCGATGTAAACCAAGGAGTTCAAAATACTCTCCAGTGAGCCTCTGATCCTGCCACGCCCCACTGTGTGTGCCCCCCCCCCTTCTCAGAGCCCCGGAAACGTGGCAAACGATAGGCCTATAAAATCTGCTGTTGGCCCTTCGAGGACAGGACTCCTGGGCTCCTCGTTGATGGCAAGGGACTTTCCTAAGATTGGACAGCCGTAGCGGTGGCAAAGTTTGAACCTGAAATTTATTGTGGAGTCTGAGCTTGGAGGTAAAGATTCCCTATATCGTGAACACAGCTGGAGGTGACCCAGGAAATTCCCCTCTTTGAGCCAGTGGCTCCCATTCGGGTCTGGAGCCCGATCTTACCCCACTGTGAGTCACGGAGGCTGGTGTTCCCCCGCCCTGGTTCCAGGATGCTCCTCTCCTCCGCACTGAGCTCCAGGCTCCTCATCTCCAAGGAAGGTCATGAGCATTGGCCTAACAGTGGTGTACTTCGAAGACATCTAGTCTTTTTTTTTTTTTTAACTTGGAAAAAATCCTAAAATTCTAAACAGATCCTCCCCAGACGTGTTAAAGAACAAAATGAAGCTTTTCATGTCTTGTCTAGAGCTTTTTTCCTGACGTGATCTCTCTCTAGCTTCACCAGACTTTGCAGGCCCTGGGAGGAGGTGTTTGTCCTAGGCAGTTTTCTGAGACTCAGTGACAGTAAAGGAGGGGGCTTGGCTTGGTCACCATAGCAGAGCTGAGCTGATTCAGGAGCTGCTGCACCAGCTCTTGCCCCTCACCCTCCACCAGGCAGTCTCATTCATTCATTCATTCCCTCATCCTAAGCACCCACTTCATGCCTGTGCTGGTGCTTGGGACTTCATGATGAGTGACAGCAGATCCACCAGCACCCTCCTGGCACTTACAAAGTGATAGGGAAGTAGGCCTTAAGCTAGTGGTCACATACACAGCTGGACAATTCCAGGTGGAATACAAAGAGGGTGTGGGGTCAGGCTGGGACTTGTGTTGGTGCAGGTCAGTTCAGAGCCAAGGCAGGTGGCCAGAGGAAGTTAACTGACTCTCAAAGGGAGGGAGCAGCAGGTATGTGGAAAGGTCCCTTGTGTGAGGGCTAGAACTTGAGTCTGGAGATCAGACTTTTCTTTCCCAAACTAGCCTCTGCTGTCTGTAACTAACTTGGGGACAGGATGAAGTCATCCAGCACCAAGGCACCAGGAACTCTGTGGTCCTAGTAGGATCCAAGTCTGTCCTCCATCCTCTTTGGGGATCCACAACTCCATGGTGGGAGTGACATGAATGAATGCTACAACCCTTGGGGAGGCATCTGCCTCAGCAGCTGGCCTGGCATCTCCGTTGCTTGGGGGACCAAACTCTTGAGAATCCTTTGGGAGGGTGGGGCCTGAGCCTGGCCACATAGCCACTAGATCCTCAAGTGGGATCAACATGTGGCCCATGCTGGGCCCTTGACAATCTACTTAGGGACTTGAAGGACACCAGAAGAGAAGATGAGCTTATCCTCTGCTGAGTGGATAGTCTGGTGATGCTGGGGACCTTGTCACCTTTGGGATAGGGTGAGGAGAGGCCATCTGACAATACAGAGCAGAGCAGTTAGCTCTAGGATGGAGAAATGATGGCCATGAGATCCCCTAGATCCAGCCAGGTCTGAAGCCATGATCTTTCCCTGAACTTCTCTGTATTGGGACTCTATAAATTCCCACCTTTGCTTGCAGCACTCTAAGGTGACTTGACCCTTCAACCTGTTGCAAGTAGGCTCTGAGGTCCATGGGAGCAGTTGGGCGAGCAGCTTGTGGTTCCAGCCTGTAAGGTCCTGCTGGCTGGAGACGGCTCCCCTTCCTGCTCTCAGCTTTCTCAGGGATCTGTCCTGATTCAGCCCAGGAGGCCCCCGGGGTTTGGAAAGATTAAACAATATGCCCATAGTCACACATGGGCCCCTGGGGTTTGGAAAGATTAAACAACATGCCCATAGTCTTAGACAGGAAAAGGGAACTGGTCTGGAAGTGGGAGGGATTCTACCAGCTCTCACATTATCATCAGGGTCCTCACTAACAGTCTATATGAGCCCCAGCTTTGCCTGAATGCAGCTGGTCACCTGTTCTTTCTAATCTCCATTTACCCTATTAGATGCAGAAATGCCAGGCTGATCTCTGTGTTGCCCAGAGATCCAGCTCAGACCAGCTCTGTGGAGCACAGGGCTTCCTCGACTTCAGCAGAGGGTCCAGGGAACTTGGGGTGCAGGGTACGGAGGACTACAGCTGGGATCTATGCACTAGGTCACTCCATGGTGATGAGGGAGGACCTGTGAGTGCTGCCCATGTTGGGTGAGATTTGGGGAGTCCAAGCCAGACATCCCAGGTGTTGTGACTTGGATAGAGTGTCCCACCTCAAGGCAGCTGGTCCTCAGCTCAGATTCAAAGTAGGGGCACAGGGAACAGAAGACCTTGGGGCCAGACCAGGGCATGGGGTAGGAAGACACCTCCACTCCCACCTCTTTTGTGGGGCTGGGGTAGGGTGGATGAGGGGACACATAGACTGCAAAAAATCCACTCCTAGGGAAAGTTCCAGAGACTAGTGTGGGGCTAGGATTCGAGGATAGCCAGAAGTGGAGAGCTGGGCAGGGAACTGAGGCAGGAATTACAAAGATAAGAAGCTTGGCTGGCAACTGGGCAATGGGGTGGGTCATGTATCTCAGGTTTTGCTCACCAGATAGCTCCATCACTGGCTCTGGGCCCCACCCCAGCACTAAAGCAAGAGCAGATTCTACCCCACCCTCAGCACAGGTTGGGGGCAGTGTTGACTCCTATTAAGTTCCTCTTAGGAGGAGGTCTGCCACAGGACTGAATGCACTCTTCTATGACTAGAGGTTAATTAAAAAAAAAAAAAGCTACTTATACATTTTTGTAACTTTTCTCCCCCAGAAGAAATACATGTTTATTTTAGGGAATACAAGATAAAATTTTTTTTTTCAAAAGGTTGACCAGTGTCAACTTCTTATACCCCTCTTAATGTGATTCTCCACCATAAAGCCATATGGTTGCACTGCAAACATTGTTTTACAGTTGGGAAAGAAATCACGATGGAAAGCCCAGATCTGGCCCAAGAATGTCAGTGCTGTCCCTCACATACTTCTGGTACCATTGTACCCTGAAAAAGCCGAGCCTGAACCCCTGCTTAACTGGGGTTAGGGGGAGTCTGTGTGGGACAGCAGTGATGAGAGCATAGCAGGCCCACCCTGTCATGCCATTCCTGTCTACTCTCTGGCCCAGACAAAGAGGCTTCTGCTATGGGCTGAATCTTTGTGTCCTTCCCTAAATTCATATGTTGAAATCCTGACTCTTGGTAATGCTACCTTAAGGTGGGCCTGGCCTTTTGGAAGGAGACCAGGTAATGAGGGTAACGATCCTGAATGGGATCAGTGCCCTTACCAAAGAGGCCCCAGACAGCTGCCTTGCCCCTTCTGCCCTGTGAGGATATAATGAGAAGGCACTTTTTATGAGCCAGGAAGTAGGCCCTCACCAGACACAGAATCTGCTTGTGCCTTGATCTTGGACTTCCAGCCTCCAGAATTGTGAGAAATGAATCCCTATTGTGTATAGGCTGCTTAGTCTGTGGTGTTGCATATTCTTTGCATGCTTTTTGTTTTGATTTTTTTCACATTTCTTTAAAAATCTGAAACCATTCTTAGTTTTGGTGGACATACAAAAATAAGCCAGGATCATGATTTGGCCTATGGGCCCTTGTTTCCAGATCCTTGCTTTAATGGATATGCTCAGCCCAGGCTGGCCCTGGAGTTAAACCCTTAGTAGAGGGTGACTGCCTAATTCCTCTTCATGGCTGCGCTAAGCCAACCAGCTTCTGTTGGAGAAGTGTTTGGGCTCACATGCCCTGTGGGAAACCCAGAGGACGAGGACACCAACAGGACCCTCAGGAGGCCTGGCTTCTGGAGCCTTCCAGAGCACACCCAGAGCAGCCTGGGGTGAGGGGAAGCTACACAAGGGCTGCTAACCCAGCAGAGAAGTGGCTCTACATCCTTTCCCAAGAAGATGCCATGTGCTCTGGGGGTTAGGGTAGCCCTGTCTAGGGGCCCCAGAGGAAGCAGCCTGAGTGTGGAGAACTTGAGGCTTCCCTGAGCACATGCTCTAGATGGGGGCACCAGGACACAGGCCAGAGGACCCACTCTCCCAGAATTGCTTGGGCCTCTCACTTGAGCTACTGTGGTGATCACAGGGGTTAGTGGCTGGGTGGACCCTGCCTTGGAAAGTTTGCCTCTTCTGCGAGGCCTGCTTTTGGAACTATATCTGACTTCACCTCTGTACCAGTGTCCCCATGCACCCATGCAGGACCCTCTCCATCCATTCCCCTTGGTCTGTGCCAGAGAGGCTGGCTTCACTAGGGGTCCCGGGCTCCCTGGCTTCTGGTTGGCTTTGATCTGTGAGCAACAATCAGCAGGAGATCCAGGAAGGGAGGTCAAATCTTTGCCCCATGAAAGTCAGCCAGTCTCCCCAGCAGGCCTTAGGTTCTGTCCAGTCATCCCTCCACAGCTGCATTCTCCGGGTCCAGCCCCTGCA